TGAGACCGAGGTTCTTTCGCTTGTGCAATTGCCCCATTGTTGTCGCAAAACAACGGTATAGGGTTCTTGATGCTAGGAACCACTCCAAGCTCAGTAATAAAATTCTTGAGCCACACACCTTCCTTGGCTGCCTCGGCTGCAGCCATGTACTCTGCTTCTGTAGTGGAATCAGCGGTAGTATCTTGCTTGTAACTCTTCCAGGTAACAGCTCCGCCATTCAAACAAAACACATACCCTGCCTGCGACTTGAAGTCGTCTCTATCAGTTTGGAAGCTGGCATCAGTATATCCAACAATACTGAGCTCTTCTTTTCCGCCATATACCAGGAAGGCATCCTTAGTCCTACGGAAGTATTTAAGGATGTTCTTCACAGCCGTCCAATGGCTTTCGCCAGGGTTGGACTGGTATCTACTCGTGACACTCAGAGCAAAGGCGACATCAGGTCTCGTACATACCATCGCATACATGATGGATCCAATGGCCGACGCATAAGGAACATTTCTCATGCGTTCTACTTCCTCTGGAGAGGAAGCACCCTGAGTCTTGGAAAGACTCGTGCCTTGGACCATAGGCAACCTTCCTCGTTTCGATTCAGACATGCTGAATCTAGCGAGGACCTTGTCTATGTATGTACTTTGCTTGAGACCTAACAGCTTCCGTGATCTATCCCTATAGATCCTTATGCCAAGTGCATAACTGGCATCTCCCAAGTCCTTCATAGAGAAACTCTTACTCAACCACGTTTTGACGGTGGTTAAAGTAGGAATATCGTTTCCTATGAGTAGTATGTCATCAACATACAGAGCAAGGAAGACTACAGCACTCCCACTGACCTTTTTGTATACACAAGATTCATCCGAATTTCTTTCAAAACCAAAACCGATGACGGTTTCGTGAAAACGGATGTTCCAACTCCGTGAGGCTTGCTTCAATTCGTAGATTGATCGCTGCAACTTGCATACCTTGGTAGATTCTTCAGGAACGCAAAACCCTTCAGGTTGTGTCATAAAGACATCCTCAAGGAGGTTTCCATTAAGGAAAGCCGTTTTGACGTCCATCTGCCAGATTTCATAATCGTGGTATGCTGCGATAGCAAGTAAGATCCGAATGGATTTAATCATGACAACTGGAGAAAAAGTTTCGTCATAGTCGATACCATGTATTTGACGATATCCTTTTGCTACCAATCATGCCTTGAAGGTTTGTACCTTACCATCCATGTCAGTCTTCTTTTTGAAGACCCATTTGCACCCAATGGGTTTGATCCCTTCGGGTGCATCAACCAAAGTCCATACTTGGTGTGTGTACATGGAATCCATTTCAGATTGCATGGCTTGACGCCATTCCTCAGCCTCGGGACAACTGATTGCCTCGAGGTAGGTTTCCGGCTCATCCTGGTCGATAAGCATTACGTCACCCTCAAAGGTTAGGAGGAATCCATACCTTTCAGGTTGTGTGCGTAACCGGTTAAACCTACGGGGTTCTTGTGTATCTTGAGCATTTTGAGGTACAACGGTTTGTTCCTCTAGCTCATGTTCCAGAACCGGCGCGGTAGTTTCTTCGTCGTCTCGAATTTCTTCGAGCTCTATCTTTCTCCCACTAGTTGCGTTGGAGAGAAATTCTTTCTCGAGGAAGACACCATTGCGAGCAACGAATACCTTCTTATCGATAGGGTGATAGAATGAATACCCTCGAGTTTCCTTTGGGTATCCCACGAAGAAACACTTATCAGACTTGGCATCAAGCTTGCCATTCGTCATAAGACGTTTGACATAAGCCTCACAGCCCCAAATCTTTAAGTGTGACAAAACCGGGCATTTGCCCGTCCATAGCTGGTATGGTGTTCCTTCAACCGCTTTGGTTGGAACTCGGTTAAGAGTATATATTGCAGTGCTCAGCGCATACCCCCAGAATGATTCTGGTAGAGTCGAATGACCCATCATAGAACGAACCATGTCAAGCAGGGGTCAATTCCTCCTTTCACAGACACCATTCCATTGTGGAGTCCCAGGAGGTGTGAGTTGGGATAAAATCCCATGCTCTCTAAGATAGTCATCAAACTCACCACTTAAGTATTCTCCACCTCGATCAGATCGTAGTGTTTTAATACTTTTGCCAAGTTGTTTTTCAACTTCATTCCTGAATTCTTTGAACATTTCAAAGGATTCTGACTCGTGTTTCATGAGATACACATAGCCATATCTACTGAGGTCATCAGTAAAAGTGATGAAGTATGAATAACCACCTCGTGCAGTTGTATTGAAAGGCCCGCACACATCACTATGAATGAGTGCCAGAAGATCACCAGCTCTTTCACCGTGTCCGGTGAAAGGAGATTTGGTCATCTTACCCAATAAACAAGATTCACATGTGTCATATGATTCAAGATCAAATGACTCCAGCATTCCCGACCGATGTAGCTTGGATATGCGTTTCTCGTTTATATGGCCTAACCTACAATGCCATAGTATGTTTGGTTCAAACCGTTCGGTTTGTTCCTCTTGGCTGATATGTTATAGACAGGCATGTCCAAGTCAAGGACATATAACCCATTGGTCATGTTGGCATTAGCATAGAAAACATTCTTTCTGTAAACGGAAAGGGACTTGTCTTTAATAGAAATGATGAAACCACTCTTATCAAGACATGAAACAGAAATAATGTTTCTGCTAATTGCAGGAACGTACAAGCAATCGTTTAATTCCAACATTAGACCACTAGGCAAGACTAAACTATAAGTTCCGATTGCCAAAGCTGCAACAGGTGCACCATTGCCGACTCGGAGTTCAATCTCGCCTCAAGCTAATCGTCTACTCTACTTCAGTCCCTGCATGGTAGTATAGATATGAGACCCACATCCAGTATCTAGTACCCATGATGAAGATATAGACATGTTAACTTCTATAACATACACCTCAGAAGAAATGGTCGTACCTTCCTTCTTCTTGGTTGCGAGGTATGTCTTGCAGTTTCTTCTCCAGTGGCCTGCCTTACCACAGTGATGACATTTGCCCTTTGCAACTCCTCCTACGGGTTTCTGGGTTGCAGATGAAGTGGACTTCGATTTAGGCTTTCCGACGGTCCTAGCCTTAATCTTAATCCCCTTCTTCGGCTTCCCCTTTCCGCCTTGGACCATAAGGACGGAAGCACCCTTGCCGTTAGTAAGGTTCTCCTCTGCAGTCTGGAGCATTTTAAGAAGCTCCGGAAGGGGTTTGTCAAGATCATGCATCATGTAGTTCATGACAAAACCCTTATACAGCTCAGGGAGCGACTGTAGGATCAGGTCCGTTGCCAGCTCCTTCTGCAAGGAGAACCCGAGTGTCTCCAAATTGGTTATGTAACCAATCATTTTGAGAACATGTGGACCGACCGGGTTCCCTGAAGAGAGCTTGCAACTAAAGAGAGCCTTACTCACGAGAAAACGTTCATGCCTGGATTGCCCCTGGTATAGCTGCCGCAAGGCCACGATCATCTCGTGGGCCTTCATGTCCTCGTGCTATTTTTGCAGCTCGGTTATCATGGTAGCCAGCATGACACAACTAACCTGGTTATCATCCTTAACGTGTTTCTCGTAGGCATCTTTGACCGCTTTCGGGGCGTTAGCGGGAGGGACAGGAGGAATGGGCTTTTCGAGCACATACTCTTTCTCATCCATGCAGAGAATAATGGAGAGATTGCGTTTCCAGTCAACAAAGTTTGTTCCGTTCAATTTATCTTTATCCAGAATGGAACGCAGGGCGAGGTTGTTTGTGTTGTTGTTTGCCATCTACAGAATTTTGCGAAGATAGTTATTATCATGAATTAAGTATCTAATAGGTCTTTATTAAATACTCTCCCACTATTTCTAACAAGTTAACTACCCTCAGGTACGGAACCTATTGACTTGGGGTTACTATTTGAAGAATACCCTAGCGGGCCAAGATCCATATTTTATTTAACTATAGTTGTGCTTTGCATCTTGCCCTACAGTTAAATTATTTAGGTAGGAATTCATTCCAATTGCATCGTTATTACAACTCTTGGTTCGGTAGATTCTTTTAAATAAAATTCTTAATTGGGCCAGATCCATATTTCATTTAACTATAGTTGTGTTTTGCATCTTGCCCTACAGTTAAATTATTTCTGGTAGGAATAAATTCCAATTGTAACAATTTACAACTCTGGTTGGATGTTTGATTTTATTTATTGATCCTACCGCAGTGCCCTAAGTCTCTCATCCTTATGACCAAGACTTAGTTAAGACTAACCCGGGGCGAGTCAGTACCCTAGTTATGGGTTTCGCGCCTAACCAACGTAAACCGGGCGTCTCACTTGGGTGAGTCCGTTACCGATCTAAATTGGGTTTGACGAGTGACGGGGCGTCGGGGTGGCACAGACTTAAAATTATGAGGGATTTATAACGCAGTCTTGCCTATGGCATACACCGCGCGTATGCACTAGCGAAAATCACAAACATGCATACATTCAATCATACATCACATGCATAATAAGTAAACGTGAAATGATTGTGGCTCCTAAAGAAAAACAAACAACAGCGCCTTGATCAAGAGATCTCTATCTCCGGCCCATCTCCTTAGGATTATCTATCACGAACGGACTTCGTCTTCTTATCTTCTTATAATTTTCGAGAGAAAAGAATATTTGAGGTAAAGAAGAGAATTACATCGAGAGTATAGAGATGAGGCACAACACGCAGGTTGTATTTAAAATTACAACAAATATAACTAAGTCACAATCATCCACCATGCAATAATACATACAAGCATCACATGCATCACATCATACATATTAAAGCATACACCGGGCGAACCGCGCACGCCCCAGACCTAGTTTATTCTATTCTACGGAATAAACTATCAACAATAAATTAATTAAACTAGCAAGTAATTTAATTAAAAATCATAAAATATTTTAAATTTACAGAATGTTAGAAATTTTATTTTCTAAATTCTAGAAAATAAAATATTTTATATTTACCGTATTTATATATATTTAAATTCGAAAAAGGGCTTTTATTTCGAATTAAATATATATATGTTTTCTAAATTAGAAAATAATTGTTGGAGACTCCCAGTAAACTTTATTAATCTGGAAATCCTAAAATTCCAGAATGAATAAAATTTAAAATTTTGAAAACCATTTTTCAAAGCTAGAAAACCGAAATTATATTGTGAAAATATATTTCGAAATTCCAAAACTATCAAAATTTATTTTCCAAGTCAAAAATAAGTTCCAGAACCAGAATATGATTTTTATAGAATTTAAAATATTAATTTTGCAATTTAAAATAATTAAAAATCGGACTAGTGAATAGTACCGATCCAATTACTTCAAAAATAAAAAATAAATATTTTTACGTGTTTAAAAATTATGAAAATTTTTATACAAGCTTAAAATCTCTGGTCGCAACTTATTATGAATTAAAATTAATTTGTGATCGTCAAAAATAAGTTTTCCTATTTTCTATTCAATAAACGAATTTAAAAATAGAAAAATAGGAAACTAATTCCAAAAATAGATTTTAAAATTTCTGAGTTATATTGAAATGTCAAATACTTCCCAGAAAATATAGAATCTAATTTTCATAAATATTAAGTATTTATGGCACAAATAACAAGTATTCTACACATAAACTACTTAATAAGAATAATATAAAAATACCCCAAACAGTAATTACGAAAATTACTGAACAAAAATTATATTAGGTCCAGTATCTAAATATGACCACCTAATAAAAATTTTAATGGGATAAATTTTTGTCTCCAAAATTTATTGACTAATCTACAAAAACAATAACGGTAAAAACTACTAAACTAGTAACTTCATAAGCCGGCTCCGATACCACTGTTGGAAACGAGGCTTGGATAACGCAGCGGAAAACAAAAATTTATAGTCCAAAACTCGATTCCACCCAAGAACAACTTACTTAAATTACTAGCCATAGTAAGAAATTTACCTTAACGGTGAAAACGGAGAACGGAGGAACGGTCGGGGATGGTTTTGAGGAGATGAACGTAGCGCCAAACGTATGAAGCCTCCAACGTATCCACACGAACTTGCTCCGGAGTCCTAGATTAAACTTGTGCTAGCAAGTTTAATATAGGATAGTAAAAACTATAATAATACTACTTTGGGAGTAATAAATATATAGTAAAATATTTATCTTATAAATATTTCTTTATAATATTTATGTATATTCCTAACACTTTAGAAAAATAACTTTTAACACAAAATAATAATTTTCTCCTATCTCTCTCTATATGGCCGAAAATCACACACTTAAATGGGGAGGGATTTTTCTCATTTTATAACATAATATATTAAGAAATTTCTAGGAATTTGCTTTGGGACAAATCAAAATGAGATTAGTGTAATGTCCCCAACCAACACAACAAGACAA